TAAGAAATGCTGGGAGAACTGTGTGAGGTCCCAAGTGCCTATTTTGAAGGGGACTGAGGCATCATTGTCCTATGTATGATGTTTCTTGTACCTTGTATCTTCTTTAATAAATGTCTCTATTTTTCATGTTACATGGCTGGACACTTTCCAGACAGACTTTGTATATTTCAGTTGATTAAATAAAGAAAGATGAAAGCTGGGATCTGAGATATGGCATAAGTATAGGACTTTCTAAAATTGTTTTGGATTACCTTCCCAGTGGGAGGTAGATCTACACATCTAATAAGCAAATATTAGGAATTCCTAAGAAAATGATAAAATAAACAAAAATCCTGTTTTCAGTGATTCTTGTTTCTAGTGAAGGAAACAGAGAAAAACTCCACAAGTGGCTTTAACTACCTTTTCATACTAATGTGGTGTTCATCTATCTTGATCAGATGTTATTTTGAGACTTGTCGCTTCAACAACGACAAGTTGAGAGCATACTAGCTGACAAGGTCTTTGACAAATCCTTATCATTGAATTTACCACCAAGTGCATCATTCCCACAGAATGATGTGTGTGTATATATATACTTTATTGTTATAAATATATATAATTATAAACTATATAAGAATACAAAATATATATTATGTATACATACAAATTCATATATATGTATAAAACATGCATACCTCGATGGTTCTTAGTCAGAAATGATTTTTCCCCAAAGAATATTTCACAATGTTTACAGTTATTTTTGATTGTCATGACTGGTGAGGAGGTGCTACTGACATCTAGAAGGTGCAAACTAAGGATGCTACTAAAACATCTATAAAGCACAGGGAAGCCTCCCACAACAAATAATTAATCAGTCCAAAATATCAGCAGTGTATACTTATGAGGGTTACAGCCTAGTGACTCTAAAAGACTATGCACCATAAAACTGTAATAATATTCTTATTTTATACATTTTCATATAGTTTTTGAGAAATCTATGCAAATATTTTTCTAAAATTAATTACTTAGCCAATCCATTAAAAAAATCCAGAAATCTCAAACATCTTTTGATTATGTTTTTCCACACAATTAATGATAATTACATTGCTCCTAAATGCTCCTAAAAATTGAAATATGATTGGAGGATCATGTTAAGTCCAAGATATATTCTCATTACCATGAACTTATTTTATTCTAATTATGGAAGTGAAGATACACCATTTAAAATACATGTCAGCTAAATGTGAAGCAAGTTTAAAGACTTATTCTGTTACATTTTACAACAAAATGACTTAAGAAAATATAGTGTGGGTATCACATAAAATGCATTTGGAATTGTTGGGACTATGTCATCATGATATTAATGATTCACTTATTCCAGAACATACTGATTAGATAAAGTTAATAAGAATAGCCCATTACCTATCTATGACTATTTAGGAACATTTCAAAAAGGGTCCATATTCAAAGCTATTTCCCCAACAAACTATCCAAAAAGTATCTAAAATATCATGGAGATTTAGTTTTTTGGCCTATGGCTTTTCATTTCATGATTCTTTATTTGTGTAGAAATACCCCAGAACGAAAGTGTAATAATATGATGATAATAGCAACTCAATATAACTTTATTGGGGAGAGGATTAGCAAACAATAATCACCTCAAAATAAACAGAGATAAACAACACAGGGTGGATAACCATTCATGATACCAAAGGAGAGCTCAATAAGCCAGGGAGCTAAAGTGTGGTGAAGAACCCCAGGACCAGGTTGTGCACTTCACATAATGTTTTAGTTTGGATTCTGACCAAAGTGGACTCTAAGACAAAGAGTTAAGTACAGGAAGTTAACATAACTGAAAGAGTGGGCAAACTGAAACAGGAAACAAAGAAAAGACAGTAAAGGGGTACATAGACAGTAGGGTTCATTCTTTACCCTGAGGGACAGGAAATTTTGAACTACCTATCCAATCGAATCTTTTCCTCTTCTCCAGGCTACCCTTCCCACAAGCTGACTAACCTCCTGTGATATCAAGCCAGAAAAAAACATCAAACACAGAAGAGATATGCATGTACAGAGAATATCCACTGCAGCTTTAGATGAATTCAGGGGTGGTCTAAGGGGATGGGGGCAGGACATCAACCATGTCTACTACAAAGTATTTAATGTTCCTCAAATTAACTAAATCACTATTTCCATTTAAGAAATGGGAAAACTGAGATTTAGTTTGGACAAAAAAAAAAAAAAACTGAGGCTCACAATTGTTAACTAACTTACCCTCAAATTACCTAAATTTATAAGAGTCATAGTGAAATCTGAAACTCAGATACCTCAGGCTCCAATTCTATGACCTTGATTTATAAAATACACTAAAAAGATGCCTAATACTAGTGCTATATCAGGAGAATAGTGGGCTCCTGATTGGTAGGAAATTTAAAAATATATTGATTTAAGGAATTAGGTAAGAATGACAAAAAAAGGGTAACATTTGGTTCAGGGATAATCCGAGTACATATTGCACTTACAACTACCTGTGAATAACTGGCCAGCCAAACTCCTAAGTACTCATTCTTTGATTGCTACTGAGAAGATCTGGGAAACAGAAGAATTATGTAAAATCAAGTTACTTGTCACAATCACTTGATTCCAAGAAAAATTCACATCAGAGCAGGGTCTTTTAAGTTTATGGAATGGCAGGGATTAATACATCTTCTGTATGGAAGAGAAGAGAGTAAGAGAAGGATGCAATAGAAGGCAGAGCCTACCACTGAGCTTGGCTCACACACAAACACACACACACACACACACACACACACACACACACATTGGCACAGAAATCCTATATTGATTCAGAGACAAATTAATCCAGTACAGAAATTAACAATGATGGAAATAAGCAGTGATACAATAAACACATGGCAAGGAAATGAAGGAAAGGTACAATAGGACTCCTGAAGAAAGTCACTGAAGATTTAGAAACTGATTGTTAACTCACTGTCAGTAGTTTAGAAGACAGCTGGCACAGCATGTCTGTGTGAAGTCAACAGAAGAACAAACTTCCACAAGATAGTAAACTCGGAGGCTCAACCCTTACAATATGCCTTCTCCTCTGACCATTGCTTTTCCTCCTTTTTAATTTTATGATTGTTGTCTGCCTTCTGACCCAATAAATATGTTGAGTATTAATACTCTCTACTGAGCACTCTACATTGGCCACGATGAATCGGATCATATAGGCCTGACCTAAGTCATGGGATAATGAGGATTGGGGAGGGGGAGGATTGGGTTATGTGTATCCTACTAGATGCCTGCTCATATTTTTCCCAATTAACCTTATGTTATATCTTCACTCTTTCTGTGTCTTGAGCCCTTTGCAGAATAGTTTCCAGCTCTTTTTATACTCATTCTTAAGTTGACTAGATGTCTTTTGTACTGATCACTTGAGCTGAATTTTCAGCTAACTAAATTTTATCTTCAAAATATATCTTCATTTTTGAAATATCAGTCTTGTTTCCCTTCAGCCAAACTCTAGGACTCCTTTTTATTTATCTATCAAAAATTACCTACCATGGTGGTAAGCTTTATTTATTCCTTTTTCTATCAACATCAACCATACCAATGATCCATTACCCAGAAACCTTGAAAAGGTAATGTATTAAAAATTAAATAATTCACTGAAATATTAAAAACCATTGTTATCCTCTTCCCCTAACAACTGCATGTTATGTAAAAGTCCTGTAGATTAAGCCAAAGGACAAATAATTCAAAATATTTAAATGATCAAAAATGGGTTCATGTCTATGAAATCAGCTTTTTTAGTTTCCAAATATGAGTGAGAACATGTAGTATTTATCTTTCTGTGCCTGGCTGATTTCACTTAACATAATGTCACCCAGCCTCATGTCTCTGAGTGACAGGAATTTTTTGTTGTTGTTGTTTAATGGCTGAATAGTATTAGAGATGGGCAGGGAGGGAGAGAGGATGGTTAAGGAATACAAAATGACATCTAGTTAGGAGGAATAAGTTCTAGTGCTCTATAGCAGTGTAGGCTGAGTGTAGTTAATAATAATTATTTTGTGTATTTTCAAATAGCTAGAAGAAAGGATTTTGAATGTCCTCAACACAAAGAAATGATAAATGTTTGAGGTGATGGATAAGCTAATTATTCAGATTCCACCCTTACAGTATATATATGAATCAAAATAGAATGCTCTACCCCAATAATGTGTACAATTATTATATGTTAATTAAAAATAGTAATATAAAATAAAACAAATCTTTAGCAGGAAAAAAATGAGTCTATAATAGAAATATATTTAACTTTTTAAATGTGGCTTTTTAACAACTGTTCAATATATAAGCTATAATAAGCAACCCTGGTTTTCTCTGTCTTAAGTGGTCTTTGAAAGCTGTTCTGCATATTGCCAATGTAAAGTTGCAGTACTAAGCTGTGGCAGCTCTGTTAATGGAATGAGTCAGTAACTGTTTGGGAACTCCAGACAACTCAAGAGCAGTTGGTTTTTCCCTTTGCCTGTTTTAATTAACCACACTTCCAAACCTTGTGAGCTATTTTCCAATGAGCCAGTATAGAAAGTGGTATCAAGAGTGCAGTACATGTAAGGCAGATTTAAAAGCTTTTCAAGTTCTAACACAGATCTACTCAATATGTTTCATGTGTAAGTAAACAAAGTGAAATTTTATTTTTATTTTAATTGTTCACACTAGCCATTTTAAGAAAGGAACCATTTTTTGATTAAACAAATTTTTCAGACACTAAAATAAATTACACTGAAGCACGCAACCTTTTCAAATCTATTTTTTTAATTGTCAGCATAGCACATCACATTATTTCAGGCCTTACACATAATTAAATGTCAGAAAATGTCATGTGAGTTTTCCTTCAGTAATGATCTGTTAATTATTCTACTAGGATGTTTAAAAATCTTTAGATATCATAGTCTTTGCTTCAAGATCTTCAAATTGGATAAGTTTAATCATTAAAGAAGCTTATGTTCTTTCTTTAGGATCTTTATTTCCTGGTTCTTTAAATAAAGACAAACGGCTTCAGCGTGACAAAACACAATTAGGTGTAACAGGTATGTTAGAGTACCCTGTACTTTCTGTGTAAGACCTTTTAGATAGAAAATAACAAATGAAAATGAATCAAGTAAAGTTGAAAAGTATGCTTTTCTAATGTTTTTCTTCTTTGGGTACTTTTTCCCACCCCTGGAGGTAATAGGTGCTTGCTTCATTTGCTATTACCTTACACTTTTAAGTTTTCATTTTCCTCTTTTTTCCATATTTAGCACTTAACATATATTTATGTTTTCCTTGTTCAAATTACCAATGTGGTTTCTATCCTGACTAGACTCTGATGAATGCATTATTTTTGTGCGCGCGCGCGTGTGTGTGCGTGTGTGTGTGTGTGTGTGTGTCTGTGTGTGTGTGTGGTCTGGTACCTTCTTCCTGCTTCTGTTTATAAACTTCAACAAGATACAAATGAAAATTGTTCCCACACCCAAATCCTTCTCTGTGTCTACCTGGGCCTCAAGCAAAGTTAGTTACTCTCTCTAATGTTCACTTTGTTCATATATTTGTAACACTCATCACAGTATATTGAAATGATCTGTGGACACATCCTCTCCCTCCCTACACATGGAGCTTCTAAACAATATGACCATGGTTTTTTTTTATCTTTGTTCCTCAAAAGTTAAACACAATGCCTAGAACATAATAGACATTTAGTAAATAGTTTTACATGAAAAAAATGTGAAAAAAGTATACACAAATAATAGCAGGTTTCTTAGGTAAGTTATTTTAATCAGAAATAAATATCAAAATCAGCATTAGATGCTTTGGAATTAAATGCAACATTCCTCAATATTTAGTGACACCAAATAACATAGTCTGTGTTTCTTCCCAATTATAACATTTATTTTAAGGAATATTCAGAGATACCTCTTTGGTAAAATTGAATCTTTATTTAAAAGTTCCTGTTATACTATTTTTAAAAAATAAATGAAAATGAGTAGATTGTAAAAAACTACAATATGCCATTTTTATTTTCTTACAGATACAGGAAAGATAAAGAATTAAATGTATGTGAATCATAATATGTATTATATTTCCTGGCCCCAAATACATAGATGTGTGTTCTTTCCTTCTCAAATCTATCTAGAAAATTTAAATGAGTCTATTAATCTTTGAACATCTTTTGATTGCCAGCTGTTATTAATATGTCAAAGCTATACAAACCAACTTGAATTCAGTGAAAACCTGAAAGATCCAGTTATTGTCATTAAATTGGTTGGTTGAAGTTTTATACCAATGGGAATCAGTGAAGACTAAATTGAATCATAATTCCCCCTCTCCATGACCTCTGTCCCTGTCATCCATGAAAACTTTATATCCTAAATCTATATACAGACTCTGAGGCAAAGTTCAGAGAACAGAATTATCCACATCACTGTCATTGCCATAGCAGTTATTCAGCCTCTACTCTAAAAAAAAAAAAAAAAAAATTTACCACAGAGAAAATGTAATATTTTAACATGACCCTAAAAAGCCCCAGAAAGTCTTATAAAGATAAAGCAATCTATTCTGCTGTCTTAATTATTGGGGAGCTATAAACACCAGACAGGATACTCTGTTGAATTATAAAAGGTTGGTATTACAAGGTGTGAAAAAGTGTGGAAGGGACATGATTTACAAAATGTTTTCTAAAGCTTTAGCTCACAGAGTAAGTAAAAGGTTGAGGTGGTTATTTCCCATTTTAACCAGAATATATTGATCTTTTTTAGCTCAAAAATCAGATTATGGAATTTAAGAAATTTCCATCTAGAGTATGAAATTAGCCCAAAATGTCAAGACATGAGATATTTTCCCCCTAACTCATCATATATTATAACAGCAAGATCTAACATATATCACAATAAGAAAGAAGCATGAGCTTCTTAAGCATAGCTTAAGAAGCTGCTTAAGTTATGGTTTAAAATCTTCATCATAACTTTAAACCAAAATTCAACTCTTCTAACCCTTTGGAGTTTGTGATTGGTTTTGAGCTCACTGATAGCAATGCATTTATTTATAGAAAACCCTGACTAATCGCCTCTCAAGGATTCGACTCTTTTAAAAAGGTTTCTAACCAGAAGAATTGGGAATTATATAGTCCTACACTTCAGGTCACCCTGATTCTGCAAAGTCCTAAAAGTGTGATTTCTCATTATAACTTCATCTTTGAGGGCAAAAGAACTATAACACTCTGTCTCACTGTCTGTTGGACATTTTACAGCTGCAGCTTTTCTGAATTGCTAAAAATGCTGTAGAAAAAAAAAGTAAAATGTTTATTTTCCTTCTTTCTTATCATGTCTGTGGCCTATATTTTATTTCCTATCCTTTCTCTTCTAATTAACTCTGCATACTTTAGTACTATTTTGGATTAGACAAATATTTTAGTTGATTTTGCAGATATTTGAAACACTAAAAATACATGTTCTTGAACATAATTCACCATTACGCTTTATATTAATGTAGTACTGGTTTAGAGTTAACATTTTAGAGAATGTGAATAGAATTCACAATGATTTTTTTAATGATATGAAAGAATCAGAATTAATCAATAACTTTAAAATTTAAGATAATCTTAAAAATTTAGAAAACATTTCATTTTAATAAAGATACAATACAAATGTATAATCATTCTTGTTCTACTAACAACTCCCAAAGAGGAAAGGGAAAATCAGGGCACTACTATAACACCCTGTTAGGTAGGGATCAAATCTGCAGATGGTGGGTGTAGGCCAGGAGGGTGGTTCCTAGGGGTTGTAGAAGTCTGGGCCCAATCAGGGGAAGGGAATACAGGAAAATGCAGAACAGTTGGCAATCATTTGGTAATATCCCACACCTCCTATAAACCCTCCCCTGGACCAGGCCAATAAAAGGAAACGATCTGAGAGTCCTCAATGTCATTCTCCAATTGTGGAGACTGACCTATTCCTCTCTCTGGAATGTATTTTCACTTTGGGTACCTTCCTTTTTTTTCTTTTTTCTTTTTTTCCTACTTTCACTTTGTATAGTTTCTTTCTTTTCTGTAATATTAATAAACTATTTGTGTTGGATTCTTTGTGTTTGTGATCACTCCGTCATTGGCTCAACTCAGTACTGGTACTCATTCTTCACACTGGGAACTGAGGACCAAGAAATATGGAGATAGACCTATCGACCCTATCCCAATTCAGTATCCATTATATCAATTGAGAGGAAAAAGACACACACACACACACACACACACACACACACACACACAAGCCCAATGGAAACTTAAAATTCATCTCTACTTTCTTCCTCTCTACTCCCCAACACTTTCTCCATGGAAATTAATATAAGCTTCTTGTGGTGGGTAGAATAATGGCCAGCTACCCAAAGATGTACAAATTCTAATCTCTGAACCTGTGAAAAATATATTATATTCCATTTCAAAAGGGCATTAAGGTTGCATATGGAATAAAATTACTAATCAGCTGACTGTAAGATAGGGAAATTATCCTGGATTATCTAAATGAACCCAGTATTATCACAAGAGTCATTATAAGTGGAAGAGGAAACCAGAGTAGAATCAGAGGGAAGTGTGACTATACAAGACTGATCAGATATTCAATGTTTCTGGGTTTGGAGATAAAGTAATGGGGACAAAAACCAAGGAATGTGGATAACCTCTTGGAGCTGGAAAAGCAAGGAAGTGAATTTCCCTTAGATCCCCCAGAAAGGAAGGCAGACCTGCCAACAATTGGAACTTAGCCAACTGGGACACATGTTGGACTTCTAAATAGACTTATAGAATTTTAAAGTAATAAATTTAAATACTGTAAAGGCACTATGTTTGTAGTGCAATTTTTTACAGTTGCAATAGAAAACTAATATATTTCTCAAAGCAAGGTTCTGTGTCCTTTTTTTCCCTATGCTGGTAATTAATCCAGTGCCTAGCACATTCTCCCAGCTCTGCTGTTAGTAAATACTTACTATAAATTCTTCAATAATAGTTCTTTAAATCAATAAATATTTATAGAACACCTATTTTTGTCATTCAAGGAAGAATCTATTAGATTTTGGAGGACATCAGCATTAATTAGACACAAAGCCTGTTATCAATGAGAATCAATGAGTATAGGCTACCATGCAAATAAAGAAATGTGAAACTTCAGCACCTCACAGTTTGACATTACAAGTTAAAAAAGAAAATCTAATAAGTTGCTTAATTAGACTTTTGGAATATTGAAGTGAAAACTGCATATGTCCAAGAGAATTTATCTAGAATAGCTACTGTAATGAACAACTATTGGTTTTCCTTTCTGTCTTAGTTTCCTAGAGAAACCATAACAAAGTACCAGAAACTGGGTAGTTTAAAAAACAGAAATTTATCATCTCACAGTTCTGGAAACTAGAAGTCTGAGATAAAGATGTTAGCAGATGTTTTTTTCTTAGGGCTATGAAAGTTAATCTGTTCCATACCTCTTCATTTCTGGTAGTTTGCTGGTAATCTTTGGCATTCCTGAGCTAGGCTTGTAGAATCATCACCCCAATTGCTAATGTCACATGGAATTCTTTCTGTGTGCATGTCTGTGTGTCCAAATTTCCCCTTTAAAAAAGGACATCAGTCGTATTGTATCAGTGTCCATCCTAACGATGCCATCTTAACTAATTGTATCTATAATGACCCTATCACTAAATAAGGTCAAATTCTGATGTACTGTGGGTTAAGACTTTGACATATAAATCTTGAGGGGAAAAAAGTCAACCCATAATACCTTCCCACAATTCATTCTCCCAACATTAGCTCTCTTTCATTTCAGAAATCCATTTCAGATCCTTCAGTTCATGAGTCTTAGCCACCTCTTCAAAAATAGACATATGATTTAAGATGGGCTAATTAGTGTTATATTCTGTGTTAGTTAGGGTTCTCCAGAGAAAGAGAACCAATAGGACAGACAGGTTGATAGATAGGCAGATAACTCCATAGATAGATGATAGATTAGAGGGGATTTATTATGAAAATTAGCTTGTATGATTATGGAGACCAAGAAGTTCCACATTTTACTGT